ATTTTGGCAGGTTCCACATTTCGCCGAGAAAGTCTAAAAAATATTCGTGGAAAACACACAGAAAAAAAAGTTGTTGAATATTACATCCATACTGCTGCAACCAGGTCAATCCATCGGTTGTGTAATATCAATGAGATACAGAGAGAGGTGACGCAGATCGTGAAATAGGGTTGTATTAGTAAACCAAAAAATCAACGTAAACGCAAGTAGTGACGTCACTACTTGCGTGTACTTGCGTGTATCGTACAGTGGTTGTGTGAGTGATTGCTTCACCTCGGTAATCCAGCTCATTGGTGTAATATAACGTTGTACGGTGTACATCGATTTTGCGAACAAAATTACATCAATTGATGTAATATTGTATCTGCTTTTTGCTATTACATCATTATTTCATACATCAGCTTGAATTACATTGATCGATATTACATTTTTTTTTTTGCTGTGCACTATCATCATTTATGGAAAACTCAATTTCTCCGTTTTGACGGAATGTTTTGGACGTTTCTGAAGGGCTCCACAAAAAAGTTACGTCGAAAGCGTTCGGGGCATATTGACCAGGATTTAACCCGACGATTTCGGAGGCAAATTTTAAATTTTTTACACTGAAACCAATCTTAAGGGCTTAAATTTTGTGAATCCGGCTATAAATCTAGGATTAGTCAGAATTTATTGGCGAAGTGAGATTGGCGATATCTGCTTTATGGCAACACTGCACGAGAGAAAACATAAGTTGTTGACAGGAGCCGTTAAACGGTGAAGAAGTTACGCGCGAAGCGAAGAAAGAAAAAGTGTTTCTGTTCCATTCCAAGTTATGCTATCGAATAAAGCACACGTATAGTCGCTATATTCATAGTCTGGCGGATAGAATTTCGATCTACCGTATAGCGGAACCAATTCAATATATTTTAGACCAACAATTGAAAAGGTACTATGAACTTTTATAAACAAAACCGTGATTATTCTTTCCTCGCCAATCGAACGCAAATTACCGGCATCGTCGTACTTGTTCCGCCAGACTATGAATATAGCGACTATAAGCACACGTAGTTTGTAAATCGGTTTTCTTTTATTCTCTTCCACGGTGACGCGAGTCTCGAAGTTTCCTCCGATCGTTTGTCCGCTCCGACGGAATTGTCCACTGTGTAGCCTGGTGACGAATTCTTCAACAGAATTGACCACTCATAATCGGTGTCGGAATGATCAAGGTTTCACCATTTTTGTACGGGTGTGTTTTTCACAATAGCATTGCATTTCAAAAGGTTGATTATTTTGTAATTTGCTATTAAAATGTACACCACTGCCCATGCGTACTGTCTAGGGAACCATAGGCTATCAGGTTCCGGAACCATAAGAACAGGTTCCGGAGGCACCGTAAATGTGGCCAATTTACAATTTTCATAGAACCTATTTGTGCGACACCTTAAAATTCGCAGAATTTCATGGAGAATTCATCAGAGACTCTAATTGTACATAACTGGTGGTCCCGTAGATGTGGTCAATTTATCATTTTCATAGAACTAAGTCGTGCGACACCTCAAGATTTGAAGAATTTCCTGAAGAAGCACAGGCCATGTCAACGTTTCTGGGGCAACATTGGACATCGGGTGAATTCGAAGCAGGGGCCACATTGCGCATCTCGAAACGAGATGCGCAATGTGGCCCTAGGCTACGGGAACCCTGGAAAAGTGGTCAATTTATAATTTTCATAGAACCAATTCGTGCGACACTTCAAAATTCACAGAATTTCATGGAGAATTCATCAGAAACTATGTGTACTGTCTAATTAGACATTGGTCACTTGGTGGCCCCGGAACAGATTCCGGAGGCACCGTAGATGTGGTCAGTTTATCATATTCATAGAACTAAGTCGTGCGACACCTCAAAATTTGAAGAATTCATCCCAGGCCATGTCAACATTTCCGGGGCAACAGTTATCCGGTGGTTTCGTAATAGGTTGCGGGAACCCTAGAAAGGTGGCCAATTTATAATTTCCATAGAACCAAATCGTGCGACACTTCAAAATTTGCATCCGGGTGGTTCCGGAGGCACCGTAAATGTGGCCAATTTACAATTTTCATAGAACCTATTTGTGCGACACCTCAAAATTCGCAGAATTTTAATGGAGAATTCATCAGAGACTCTAATTCTACATAACTGGTGGTCCCGTAGATGTGGTCAATTTATCATTTTCATAGAACCAAGTCATGCACACCTCAAAATTTGAAGAATTTCCTGAAGAAGCACAGGCCATGTCAGCATTTCTAGGGCAACTTTGGGCATCCGGTGGATTCGAAACAGGGTACGAGAACCCTGGAAAGGTGGCCAATTCATAATTTTCATAGAATCAATTCATGTAACACTTCAAATTCGCAAAATTTTATGGAGATTCCATCAGAAACTATGTGTGCCGTCTAATTAGATATTGGTCACCTGGTGGTTCTGGAACAGGTTTCGGAGGCACCGTAGATTTGGCCAGATTATCATTATCATAGATCCAAGTCCTGCGACACCTCAAAATTTACAGAATTTCATGCAGAATTCATCAAAAGTCATGCCAGCATGCCCGGGGCAACATTAGACATCCGGTGGTCCCGAAAAAAGTTCTGCAAACCTTGGAAAAGTGGTCAAATTATAATTTTCAAGTCATGTGACACATCAAAATTCGCAGAATTTCACGGATAATTCATCAGAGGCTATGTAAACTGTCTAAAACAACATTGGTCACAGGTTCCTGAGGCACCGATAATACTAAATATTAAATATTCGAGCGAGTACAAGAAGTGTAACAAACATATTTGCAAAGCACATTCCAAAATATTCTGTGTGGATTGCATTTCTGAACAGAACAAGCCTTGAACCAAAGGGATGTGGGTTAAGTTTTGTGAAATATTGAACTTGTTTTGTTTTACTTTATTTCTTTGGCTCTATCCACACTTAATTTTTTTTTATTTTGCTGAGATTCAGTGAAACAATTGCCGAGACTAAGCTAACAAATAACATTTTGTTGAGATATCAGCTAACAAACAGATATTTTGCAGAGATATCAGCAAAAGTAAATGCCAAGGTAATCGGCTGTTGAGATTTTACCGAGCTGTGTTCAATACGAAAATAAATGAGATTTGTTTCAAGAGTAATGTAATATTGTTTCTCTTCATTCAATCATTTAGAGCATGAAATGAAATTTAGTTGCAGCGTCTGAAAATGCAGCAAATCCTCTAATTAATCATGAAATTCTGCAAATTTTGATGTGCTGCACGACTTCAGCAAATGAAATGCAATGCTGATGCATGTTACGACACCTATTGTGAAAAACACACCCGTACAAAAATGGACAAACCTTGATCACTCCGACACCGATTTTGAGTGGTCAATTCCGGCCAATCCTAGTTCTGTGGCAAGGTTCACAAAATGTGAGACCTAAAAATTAGTTTAAAAAAGAGAAAGAGAAGAATTTAAAATTTGGTAAAATGCGTCCGAAATTGTTGATTAAAATCCAGGTCAATATGACCCGAACACCATAAACGTTTTTTTTCGAACACCGTAGGAAAGTTAAGGTTCATCGAGTATTGGTATAAGTATTGGAATAGACTTCTTGGACGTTGGTGAAAAGCACAAGTATTAGTGCAGAACTTTGGGTAAATTATAAGTATTAATGCAAGAAATCCTTTGAATTTACCCAAAGTTTTGCACTAACACTTGTGCAATTCACAAACGTCAGAGAAGTCTATACCAATACTTATGCCAATACTCGATGCATCGATTAGCTTGGGACCGGAGATATTTTTTTTATATCTTTATTAAGGAGACTTTCAGCCCTGGCCTGGTTCGTCTCCCGGACCGGAGATAGTACCAGAGCTGAACCAAACAGTTGAGCACATTTCTTCGGGACCTTCTTGTCTTAGAGTTACCTGTATGGTAGGTTACTCTTAGACTTGTAGGTCCCGAAGAAACATGCTCAACTTTTTGGCTCAGCTCTGGTACTCTCTTCGGTCCCAAGCTGATAGATAGATAGAGGTAACTCTAAGACCAGAAGGTCCCGAAGAAACGAGCTCAACTTTTTGGCTCAGCTCTGGTACTATCTTCGGTCTCAAGCTAATCGATACACCCCTCGAAACATAGGAAAATCCATGACCCCCTTATTTTATCTGTCAAACTTTCATAGCAAATCAACACAAACATAGTATAGTACTAGAATTTCGACTAGAATGGGATACGTTAATCGTTTGTTTGGGACCAATTGGCTAGTCAAGTAGTGAGCCAATTTAAAATCGTTAGTTTCGAATTGATTGATGATATATTTTTTTTTTGCTTGTTGATTTTTGTCTAAGAAAATCAAGCGTGATCTTGTTCTTTGATGAGATTTGATTTTTTGATTATTTCCCAACACTGCCTCAGTTATTCTCCCAAAATGTCTATCTATTCTAATAATTCAGCAAAGTCCTGTGGATACTTAGGTCGATTAAGTATTATTCTGAAATTGGTTTGGGTTTTTAGTTATATTGTTCACAGTCAAAATTTTCAGGAAGGAGCTCAAAATATGAAGTCAAAATCTTCAATTCTATAGCAAACATCTTCATATGCCTGTTTTAAAAAAAAAAAAAAAAAAAACATCCTTTGGAAGTCTTATTCAATCTTCTTTGGCTACGGCTACGGCTGATAGTCTCAATAATAAAGAAAACTAAACTTATTCAGTTTCAGCATCTCTTGAAACAGGTTCTACAGGATGAAACATGTTCAGCATTTTAGGGTGACCAACCAAGTAGAAAAATACGCTAAAAAGGGCAGGGGGACCAAAGTGGGTGCTTCTTGAAACGCAAACAAACAAACAAAGTATTTTTTACATGATTGGTCTCCCTAAAATCACCAACGGTCGGTGCTAAGATGCTACGTTATTTATGCATTTTCCCTGTCTTCAAAATGTCTTCAAATCTGTAGTCCCTGCTTTAGAAGCAACGCGTGGACTTGCCAACATAAACTTAGACAAAAGAAATGTGCATTACCTATGTGTCCAAAACCGCAGACCAGTTTCACCAAATGCCCGACACGTTGCTTCATTGCCGGTACGATGTCGTAAAAGTTTCCCAACGGCAGCGACAAATCGTAGGTGAGGCAGAAGTTATTACTGAATGTCCCGTCGGGGATTCGTTCCCTCAGTTGCCAGAGATCCTGAAAATACGTATTTCTAGCAAACCCCAGCAAAATTATCCTGCAGCAATGCTTACTTACCTCCATTTTCGATGGCTCATTCGTGACAACTCCATCGCCAACGGTTCCAGTTGACAGCGCATGTTCCAAAAAATCCTGAACCTTCTCCTCATCGTGGCTGCTATTGCTACCCGTTGTTTCGATTAGCATGTAAAACGGAAACTCCCCAATGGGAGATGGCCTCTTCAAATGCTGAATACAGCAATCAAACCCATCCGAATCTATCAGTTCGCAGGAGGTCAGTATCTCCCCAAGACGTTTCTTACACTCAAGGAACGTGCGCAACACCGAACCGTAGTTTGCAACACCCAAAAACATTACATTTTGTGTAGTCGGAGCCGTTGGGCATGCGATGGCGACTCGCGTTATAACTCCCAAAGTCCCTTCGGACCCGATGAACATATGTTTGAGATGATATCCCGTGTTATCCTTCTTGAATCGGGACATCAAATCCACCACCGTGCCATCTGCCTTCACCGCTTCCAATCCTAAAACCGAACCGTGAAGATTTCCGTACCGCATCAACCGAATACCGCCAGCATTGGTCGCAAGATTGCCTCCAATCTGGCAAGAATTCTTCGATCCCAAATCAAGTGGCATGGTCATTCCTTTCTCGTTGAGTTTCTCTTCCAACTTCCCCAATACACATCCCGCCTCGCATTCCAAAATTCCAGAGTACTCGTCAATCGATTCAATTTCGTTCATCCGTTCCAGCGAGAGGACGATTTCGTCAAACACGGGAATCGATCCCCCGCAAACACCCGTGTTGCCACCGAAAACCGAAACGGCCAACTTTCTGCGGTTACAATGGCGTAATATGGCGCTCACCTGTGAGGTGTTTCGGGGCCTAAGGACGACCTCGCCAAGTCCACGGACATACTTGAAGTAGTCACGGTTGTATCCAGCGGTTTCGTCAAGGCCCAGCAAGATTTGGTTGGGGTTGGGCAGGATGTCTTCGAAATGTGTAAGATCTGAATCCGCAACGGTGGCGTAGGGATTTCGTTTAACCTGGTAACGGTCCTATGGTAAAATGGAAATATGAAATAGTTTTTTTTTTTTAATTTTGGTAAAACTTGGTGACGGTTTGGTTACTTTTTTTTTAGTGAAACAGGTGATGCTTTGTTAAAACAGTTAGTACTCGATTTTGGTAATATAAGGCCCAAAATTAAAAAAAAAACCCAATGATGTCTAATCAAACTCACTGTTTATATTTTTATAAACATTAGGATTATCCAAGAAAAGTCTTGCAGGAAACGCAGGAAACTGACTCCAAATTTTGCATTTAATAAACCCATGATGGATCGCTCGTTGGAGTATCGTTCATTACAGGTCAGTGAGAGTAGCTCACTCTAATTCGACTAAAAATAGAAAAAAAAACGGGGTAACTCAGTGATTGAGTAAAATTTTCATCGATTCATATTCAAGCAGTTTTTGATGGAAAAACGAGGAAACTTGTACTCATTTTCTGAGTACATATTTACTTTTTTACAATTTGGACTCAGTTACTGAGCTACTCTCATTGGCCGTGTACTTATTAATATAGAACGCGATCGTTATGTCCAAGTAAATTTTCAGTTAACCTATCTTAAATAGATAGATTAATGCTAGTATTCTCCCGATCAAAATTCAACAATTTCGCACACATTTCGGCCACACTCCATGTTTTCACTGAAGATTCATTAGGGTGAACATTCTGTAAAAACGCAGAGTGTGGCTCTACGGTGCGAAAATTTTGAAGTTTGATCGGGAGAATACTAGCATTAATCTACACGCTCGTTTGGGCTTTCATAAGTGGCTGAACTGAAGTGGCTTTAATGAGTAACCCATTATTGATATTAATTGGGTAACAGTTACTCTTTCATTGGTAACAGATACTCATTAAATGGATATTATTTACCCATTATTGAGGTAAGCCACTCTACTTCAAAATGGGTAAAATTTTACTATTTAATGTGGACTTTCAAGTTACCGTGTATCTATTTTAAGATGGATTAATTCAATTGAACTTTACGTTAGTATTCTATATTAAAAAGTAATGAGCGATGCTCCAAAAAGCGATCCATCCTTGAACCATCCATAATCGTGATCTAACTTTTAATACTGTCCCTGTTTGGATGATCTACAAAGTCGTGTTGATTAACTCTGACGTCAACACCAAAGCAGTCTGGCATTCTTGATCAGGATTTAATCCAAGGACCGGTTACCGGTTGGAGCTTACCACCATTAATTATTAATAGTTAAGTATCAGCTAAATGCTTATTCGTAATAATTCATTAATTGTAAATACATACCTTTGAAAGTGGAACCTCATTGCTGACTGTACCAAACTGCTTAATGGCACAATTTATGAATTGTGATGTTCTTCTTCTGACAATATTCAGCATCACGAAATATCTGCGTAGAATGGTCCTAAAACATCGATAAAGTTTTATAAATTAGGTGCTTGATTTACCGTTTGTACCTTCTGTTACCCAAACCCTAAACTACATTTCTAAAAGTAGCTTGCCTGTTGCTAAGCTCCTCAAACTGAACAGCAAAAACCACTGTAATACAGACATACCTCGATTTTACGTACATTTTTTGTAAGATGCGCTTCTGAAAGGCTGTGAGATGTTTAGTAACTAAATACGACTTTAATGGAAAATAAATGTATGTTTTATAATCCTGATAGTCACCCATATTCTCGTTTACGTGAACCGTATTTTCCATACAATAAAAATCTTTATAAAAAACGAGTATATGGTTGATATATTTTTCTCTAAAAAAAGTATATAGAGAGGCATATTCAGAAAGGTGCTTTTGATAACAGCACGTCATTTACAACATCTAGACATGATCTGAGTAGAGACGATGTTTTAATAAGAGACGCTCGGAGAGAATACTAGTAAATCTTGTTGCACGGCCAACTAAGTTATTTTGTCTACAAGGTTTGGCAACCCGCAATTTTGCTAGGGACATCCCACTATAAACTTTGTATTTCTCGCATTATATTCAGAAAGTTCTTACTGATATCTAAGATACCTGACAATACTTAAAAATACTTAAGATATATTTAGCACTATAGTTTAACTAAGAAATCCTCAGAGGAAAAGATGAGTAAAGATAATTCTTTGGCCAAATGAACTGTCAAAATATGAGCAAATCAAACGTTCCCATTAGTTTTTTTCCGAGCATTTCTGCAAGATTAGCAAGATTACAAGATTTTATTTGAGAGTATTGTAATCAAATAGAAATTCAACCACCTATATTTTTCGTGTGCCTCTCAAATTCAACTAGTTGTTAGACTCAAAAATTATGTTCTAACTCTATTGATTAATTGATCTTTGTTGGTTAATTAATCGCACCAAGAAATGTGCAAAATATTGCGAAGCTCTCAATTATTATTTTGTACGTGAATCGAGTTGAATTGAAAAGTCATGTGAAATGCTAGCTAATTGACATACAAAACCCTGCTGCCGAATTGCATTTTTTTTCTCCGCCCATCTCTCCCTCTGAGTATTTGTAATTTAACTACAGTCAAATTTCGCTCATTGGGCTTTGTTTCGGTGGGCTACTTTTTAGTTGGGCTACGTTTTAGTTGGGCTGTAGACCACCTAAATCGAAGTCAAACGTCATTTTTGACAGTGCTATTTCTTTTGTTTTGTAGGATTGTGATGATAATAAACAATCGGTGTATCCCTCAACCAATTTTCAACTTGACATCTCAGCCCAACTAACGAAAGCCTTTCACTACAACTACAGGTTTAGTCCTACGAGCGAAAGTTGACTGTTACCAGCGCCGGTGGTGTAGTGGTAAGCATGATTACCTCTCACCCTAGCAGGCCTGGGTTCAATCGCCGCTGGGATCTTCTGAGGCATAACATCGCTGGTCACGTCTTCTTTCGGAAGGGAAGTAATGCCGTTTGTCCCCGGTTCATCACGTAGAAAAAAACATAGTTCAACCAAACAAATAATGTTTCATTTTAAACAAAGTTTTGAATAGAATATGGATCAATAAAATTGATCGGTCAACAAAATAATTGAGTTGAAATAATACTACTAATTTTATTGATTTGAACATCGTTTTTTATTGATTTGAAAAAAAATGTTTGCTTAAATCAAGTTGAAGCATTATTTAAAGTAATAATCATTTTTAGTTGTATTAAAACGTTATTTCTATTGTTTCAAAATCCAATTTATTAAAACCCCTCGGTCAAATTAGCTGTCATTATTAAAAAATAAACCCATATTTCAGCGATTTTATTCGGCGAAAGAATCAACTCTTCGAAAATTCCATTCAAGCGTACACTAGCGACCATAAGTTTAATATGCAAATATGTTTTTTTTCAATGATCTCTCATTTTACGTTCAATTTTCGATTTCCAAAGGTTATTTGAATGGTATGAATGGTATAGCATAAATGTTCTACTACTACTTTTATTTCAAAATTTGGCCAACCCAATTCTGAGAAAATCAGTCACGATTCTTCAGAGTAAATTTTGAAAAATATTGTAACTTTGGGTGGCACACACTATTTGAAAATTATATTGAACCATTTTGCTACGAGGAAAGTTCCATTCAAAACCTTTCAGATGATCTAAAGAGAACGAAAATTGAACGTAACATGACAGAGATATGAACATAACAAATTTGTCATGTTTTTTGGGGGTGTCCTTAAACTTATGATCGGGAGTGTACATCTCTGCATCGTCGGATGGTGCACTTCTATAACCATCCGAAAGAAGGGGACCTTTTTCGGGAACGATTGCGCTTCCAGCTGTTCAAAATCCGAAATGTTGAAAAACAGTATCGCAAACTATCTGAGTAACTGCTCATAATCCATCGGGAGAAAACCGCCTGGAGGAACCCTGGATCCCACAGCGCAACTATCGAAAGATAAACAAACTTTGACGTTTAACTTTTTGCAGGCGACTTTGCCTCCATAAATGCTGCCATAAATCTGAACGGGTTAGGATCAAGCAAAATGGCTTTAGATAAATACAATTAAGCCTGCAAGTTTTCTTCATAAAAGCCATTTTAAACCCTTATTAATTTGTTAAGGAATTCTTGAAAACAAAACAACTTTTTCACAAATGGCTAATGAAAATCAACTTTTATGCCACCGCCATGTTACAATTAGTTTGCTTGTTTTGTACAATCTTCGATTTTCAATATATATTTCCTTGGAACTAACTATATTTTGGCAAATTTAGCAATGAGCAAACATTTAAATGCGAAAATCATAAGAAAATCTCGATCAAGCTCGATTTGAAGAATAGTTTTTTTTTCAATGTAAATTAATTAGTCAAAGCGACGTTTTACGAGGGCGGACTTATTTTCTTCGATGTTTTCACGTCCATTTCACATAACATTTAATAATGCACTTAAAACTAGGCCACTTAATGAGAACTATTGTTATATATTGAATATTCAACAAGATTTTTATACCATCAGTTTCTATTTTAATTATTTTGATAAGCTCGGATTCATACACACTTAAACTTAAATTTTTATCTCGGTAAATCGTGGTACCGAAAACCTCCCGGAAAGCGTGATTTTTACCAAATTATCGTTAAAATAATTGTTTTTACTGATTTTCGTTAACAATTATTTTCGTTATTTCGGTACCGTAAACAGTTTACTGACCTTCGGCAATTTAAATTGCTGAGAGAGTCGAAAAAATAAGCAACTACCGGTATCGGTTAAAGAATTCGCTGAACTTCAGCAATTCGACAGTGAGCATGAATAAGGGCCTATACGCGATGATCGATTCTCTTCGTCGATTTTCTCTTTTGTTAATAACTCGCTAGATTTAACGTTTCTCGGTGCGTTTGCTGTTGCTTTTGATAGCCAATACAACCTGTTATAACTCTGCATTGAACAAATTCTAGAAAATTGTTCCGCTTAGCTGTAGCAATGCAAAGAGAAAATTGATGAAGAGAATCGATCATCGCGTATTCGCCCTTATGCATGCTCACTGTCGAATTGTACTTCCTTTTCCAGGAAAACAATCTAAAGTCAAGAGCCACACGTGAAAAGGGCATACAAGCTTTTTGTAACCATACCTTTGTTGGCCCTTTTCTCGCCAACCGAGGGTCGCCCACGCAAATCAGCAACATCATGGGGATGGGGAAAATTTCTTCTATCCGGTGATGCTGATGGTTTACGTTGGTGTCATATGGCTGGCGAGAAAAAAACATGTTTGTTTACAAAAAGCATATTCCGTATCAAGTGATTGATTAATTGATTTATATATTATTCGTCTCCACTCTACTCGATCCATGGCCACAGTTCGCCAGCCTCGTAGTCTGCGAAGGGTCCGCAGGTCACCTTCTACTTGGTCGATCCACCTTGCCCGCTGCGCGCCTCTTCTTCTTGTTCCTGTTGGGTCGCTTTCTAGAACCATTTTCACTGGGTCGTCGTGCGGCATTCTTACAACGTGCCCAGCCCACCGTAGTCGCCCAATTTTTGCAATGTGGACGATGGATGGTTCTCCCAGCAGCTGGTGCAATTCGTGGTTTATTCACCTCCTCCACGTTCCGTCATCCATCTGCACTCCACCGTAGATGGTACGCGACACCTTCCGTTCGAAAACACCAAGGGCGCGTTGGTCCTCCACGAGCATAGTCCAGGTCTCGTGGCCGTAAAGGACCACCGGTCTAATCAGCGTCTTGTAGACAGTCAACTAACAGAGTTATGGAATGGCCACAGGAGAAAATAACACGAGAAACGGTTTAGAAAAACTCACAGAAAAAGAAACGTGTTTATTGCTTTTAGGTTTACAGGTTGGATTGAATGAAATTGGTTTGACAGCTCAGATGGAGCTCACTGCACAGTGGTGCCAATAAAAGGGGGGCACAGTAGGTAGCAGTGTTGTACACTTAACACCCTCCTTCAACCATTGCTACCGATCAAGCCGATGCCGATACGATGACGCCGGAAAGCACCAACTGGCAGACCCTTCGTCATAATGTCCGCTGTTTGGTCCTCAGAGCGGAGATATTCAAGACGAATCCGCCCTTCTCGCACAAGGTCCTTCAGGAACTGAAGCTTCACGTCCACGTGCTTTAAGCGCCCGAAATCCTTCGAACTCTCCGAAATTCTTATAGTAGACTGATAGTCCTCGAAAAAGGTAGTTGGTTCATCCGAGTCCAAACCGAGATCCTTCAAAAGACGAATCAGCCACATCTGATGACATGCCGCGTTACACAGAGCATTCAGCTCCGCTTCGGTGGACGAAAGCGACACCGTCTTCTGCTTCCGAGTGATCCATCCAATAGTGCACCCTAGCACCTTGAAGAGACAGCCGCTGATTGATCTGCGATCCGATGTATCATTCGCCCAATCCGCATCTGAATACACTTCGAGAACCGCTGCCGCTTCATCTGCTTTGTACACTAGACACAAGTCAAGAGTGCCCTTGA